AGAAGCTGTTCTAATCCAGATGGTAACTCTTGAGTTGGAAAGGTGACTTCAGATTGTTTTTTGTTTATGGGTATTCTTTTTTTGGTGGGGGTTGACAGGGGGAGGCTTTCCTGCTTTGTGCTATTGCTGCATAGAAATATAAAATGATAATCCCAGATAAAAGTAGTTGCTTATAGCAGATAATCTGGGATTTGGGATATAAACTTGGCCTTTTTCTTTGATTAGTCTTTGTAGTCAGCCCAATTTGATCTGGAAAATGATGAAAGCAGGTGCATTAATACTTTCTAGTATTGAAGGTAGGACACAATCTAGGGGGGAAAAAGTGTAAATGACCTAAGTTGAATTCAGTAGTGGTTTTGTTTTCCAGCATATAGGGTTGCTTTACTTCCACCTTGCAAGACAGAGCCTTTTTTTTTTTTTCTTTTTGTGATAAGTTCCTGTTCATCTGCTGTAGTGACAGATACGGATGCTCCTCCTGCATTGTAAGGTCAGTCCTAGGCAATTTATGCTACTAAACGTAGGTTTAAAGCAGCCACTGTGTGGCAGACTCATACTTTACTTCTTTGGAATGATTATTTTGGGGAAGTGGCCAATTCTGTCAATAAATTAAAAAGCAACAATAAGAATTTCTTAAAAATAACTGCTTTGTTTCAAAGTAGTCTGGTCTTAAAGTGATTTTTTTACTTCCCTAGAATTTGTTAGAGAAATCTACTGAGAGAGAAACTCGCCAAGAATATGCTCTTGCCATGATTCAGTGTAAAGTTTTGAAGCAGCTAGAGAATCTGGATCAGCAGAAATATGATGATGAAGACATAAGTGAAGATATCAAATTTCTACTGGACAAGCTTGGTGAGAGTGTGCAGGACCTTAGGTATGCTTTGCAGTGAGAACTTTTTTTTAAAAAAAAGCAATTATATGAACATTGGTAATTTTTTGTTTATTTTTTAAGGCTAAATAACATACAGAATTAGGATATATAAATGCTAGTTGATAAGGTAGAGCATACAGAGATGCTGGTTGTAGATAAAAGTTTCATATTCTAAGTGTGTATTTACAAGCTGAATAGGAAATAAATCTTCACTTTTGGCTGCATCATCTTTGTAACTGATAAATTGTTAAAGGATGTCAGAGGAATCCTATAGAAGTTCCAGTCTAAGCTGAAGACTACCTGATTAGCATATATTTTGCTGTCCAGATAAACTGAAGTTTTTGTTAGTGTTTGCCTAGTTCTTGCTCTTATGCATAAATTGAACTGCATATTGTAGTTCATGTCAAAGGTTTAATTGGATGAAAGACAAGGACTGGGGTCCGTGGTTGAGGAAGTTAAATCCTAGAAAAGGGGCGAAACAGCCAGTTAAGTTCCTTAATGCTGTGGTTGTGTGGCTTGTTTTTTCCTCTATTTGCTTGTTTTTCTTCAGGAATTGTGTTTTGGAGTGGGTGGAGAGGTATGTTTGAAAACAAATTTTTCTCTTTCATGCCTTTCGTTATTTTTAAAGTGTTGAACTTTCAGACAGGGCACAGTTCTTGTGCTCTGCAGAGAGATGACTTTCATATTTGTTACAGCAAGTTGTGTTCCACCTTTGTCTTGATAGGGACGAGCTTGGGCACACAGTTCAAACTATGTTCGTAGAAGCTTAGCCAATACTTCATTTAGGTCTTATATGTTGCAGCTCCTTCGATGAGTACAGTTCTGAGCTCAAGTCAGGAAGGCTGGAGTGGAGTCCTGTACACAAGTCTGAGAAGTTTTGGCGGGAGAATGCTGTAAGACTAAATGAGAAGAATTATGAGCTACTCAAGTAAGTTTTTAAGTCTTGAATAACGGAATTCTTTAATATTTTCTGTTTAACTGAACCTGTATCTAATGTTTTGTGTTTGAACATGAAGTAATGTCTAGAATGAAAGCAAGTCAGAACATCTTGCTATTTTTAGAATATATGGTTCTTATTCATGGCTAGTTTTGTTCAGAAGTAGAATTGTTTATTTGCTTTTACTGGGCAAAATGTATGGATGATGATGGAGGTTGTACATCTAACTTAACTTGCATACAAATTTGTGCTGTTGACTCTTTTTATGCTTTCACTTGAAAAAACAGCTAGACTAACTGATGCAATTAAAAAACTTTTACCATACCTTAGTCTTAGTTTTGTGTTATTGTTGATCTGTGTAATGATCTCCTATCTTTTGAATACTTGTGGATTGAAGCTCTGTCAGCACTCCATGGAAGATCTGACTTGCTGCATTTCATTGCAGTCTGATTATTTTGTCTTGAGACTGTATTTGATACACATAGATTGTTAGATTAAGTGAAGCTGAAGCTCATCTTTCTTTTTGGAGTTAAGGACTTATTTGCTGGCTTCTGAAAGTATGTACTCTACAGATGTCTAGGCTTTAAGCAGCTTGTAAGAGCTCTCAGATATTTAATTGTGTTGTTATTAACTGCTAATGTGTTGTTCTTCTTGTTGAGCATTTTCTAATAAGTGCCAGACCTAACAGAAATTGGCAGTCTTGAGCTGAGAGTTGTTCATGGTTGTACAAACCAAAGAACTCGGTGTGCTGCTTTGTTCTCAACTGCCACAATGCCTTTTAATTTTTAAATAGTTCTGTGTGACAGTGTTTTCCAAAAAACTTTGCCCTTTTTCATCCTCTCCTGCAAGAGCAAGGTTACTGTTAGAAGGTGAGGGGAAGAACAGAGCTGGAGAAAGGCTGATAGATAGCAGGCTTGTCATACCCGCCTTGCTGTGTCACCAGCAATGTCGCCTTACCGCTCTCTGAATCCATAGCGTTTGATCCTGGGTGCAGGAGCTGGGAAAAGCATGCAAGCAAGACTGGGGTCTGTTGTATAACAAAAGCAGCATCATCTGTTGGCCTTGTGTAGGCATTGTGCTTGTGTCCCACCCCTGTTCCAGTCTGTAAGTGTTTATACGTTTGAGAAGTACAGCTGATCTTGAACTCAAACCTGCTGGTCTTGAAACATCCGTATAAAAAAAGGGGATACCTTGTAAACCTTAGGTATAGGTATTTGTAGATATAGCTCACTAAACTCAATCTAGTGAATGCTTTAATTCTGTTAACTAGGGCGGGATCTCCATTGTTTTAAGTGCAACTGCATATTTGGAAAAATTTCTATTCTAGCTTTGCTGTTTAGGTGACTTGTATTTTTATGGTTACAGACTTTTTTATTTTAAGCTTAAACCCAAAGCAAAACCCCAAACAGAAACCTGGGACTTGATTGTTTCAAATCCTTTCTTAGAATCCTGACAAAACTTCTGGAGGTTTCTGATGACCCACAAGTGCTGGCTGTAGCTGCTCATGATGTGGGAGAGTACGTACGACACTATCCCCGGGGGAAACGGTGAGAAAAATGCCAACATGTTGTTACTTATGAGACTAGCTAGAGTATATCCTTTGCTTGTGGCTTTTTTTGTGCATTTATATTAAAATATGCTACATAGGGGTTGCAGGTTGTGTTTAAGTTTAATTCACTAGGAAGGTGCGAAAACACAAACTAGATCAGGTGAGAAAATACAGACAAGATCTTTGGCTTAATGTATTTCAGTGTCTCTTAACAGTGATGGGAACCTATGACTATAAAGAAATCTTGAGTTGTTTAGACTAAAGCAAAAGACATGAACCAGAAGAAATTAGAAGAACTACCAGGAATTTAAGCAACATGATTCTTACCTTCTATTATGACTTATTGAGCTTACAGTAGGGATGGACTATGTCAATGATTAAGTCTATTTTGTGAATTAAAACTACAGATGCAAGATTTCTTTTCTCACAAACAATTGCTATTGTAATTTCAGTGATGCTAGCACGTATTCAGTTATCAGTCTTCTATTTTACCATGTTTTCTTTTAGCTACACAAATACACATTTTAATGAAAGTGTTAATGTTTATTGTCAGCCTGAATTCCTGTCAAAATACACAAACAGACATTTCTGCATATTTTTTTTTTTAAACCTGGGAGCAGAGATATTTGCTGAATAATTGCATCTCTAAGGTAAATGGAGACCACTGAAGCAGAAAGGGGCTTTTGGATTTTGCAGGAATTGTGCTCATCAGTCACCCAAAGGGACATGTGACTTAATTTTTGCAGCAAAGTAGTGGTCTGTTTCTGATTTCTGCATATAGTTTAATGGGGAAGATGAGAATGGTCTCCTAGGCTTGTTGGGAATTTCATGAACACTTCAGTCTGCTGTCCTGGTAGTAGGAGAAACATGAACAACAGACTGAAACTTCATGCTGTATGTATGCTAAAAACATTTATTCACTTAGAAAAACTCACAGCCTTTGTAGTCTTGTAAGCATCTTGAACTGAAGATATTTTTAAAATATTGGAACAAATTAACTGGGTTTTGCTAATTAGCTCCCGTGTCTTCCAAAAGAGTTTATGACAACTGCTATTTGGAGGGAAAACAAGATACTCTTCAGTAAGGTGTAAACTTGCACTGCTGCCTGCAAGTAGCAAATCTGAAGAAGCTTTGCTACTGGATGCTCCTGTTTTGAGCTGAAACCATTTTATTAGTGATTTGCATAATATTTAAACAGTTTGCACACATCTGTCCAAATGTGGCATAATGCTTGGGCTAGTTTGGCCATGCAGTTGCTGCACCAAAGCAGTGAAGTCAGATAAGTGGATGAACAGGACTTGCATCTCCATCTGTAGTTGGGAGAAAGTACTGCTGGTGGGACCACAGCTCTGCTCAACTGTCAGGGTGTTAAACCTATTCAGAAGTGCATCAACCTTTGAAGAGAGTGGTCACTAGCAAATAAAAACTATTATACTACTATTCTGACCCACACTCTTTTATCAAATTCTTATACTTCAGCTGCTTTCTACTTACAGACTTGGCTTATTTAACTTTGTGTTCTGATGGACAAACTAAAATGCATCAATCTCTTTCTTTTAAATAATTTCCTTTGTAATATAGTGTATTCTTACTAAGCATGACATCAGCAATTTTAGGACTAAAAGCTTAAAATACCTGAGCACTATATATGTCAGTTCCCACATCAATTTCTTACCATGATGTATAGAATCATAAGAATAGTTAGGGTTGGAAAGGACCTTAAGATCATCACGTTCCAGCCCCCCTGCCATGGGTAGGGACACCTCACACTAAACAGTGTCACCCAAGGCTCTTTCCAACCTGGCCCTGAACACCACCAGGAATGGAGCATTCACAACTTCCCTGGGCAACCCATTCCAGTGCCTCACCACCGTTACAGTAAAAAACTTCCTCCTTATATCCAATCTAAACTTCCCCTGTTTAAGTTTTAACCTGCTACCCTATGAAGAGTCCCTCTCCAGCATCCCTGTAGGCCCCCTTCAGATACTGGAAGGCTGCTATGAGGTCTCCACGCAGCCTTCTCTTCTCCAGGCTGAACAGCCCCAACTTCCTCAGCCCGTCTTCATACGAGAGGTGCTCCAGTCCCCTGATCATCCTCGTGGCCCTTCTCTGGACTTGTTCCAACAGTTCCATGTCCTTTTTATGTTGAGGACACCAGAACTGCACACAATACTCCAAGTGAGGTCTCAGGAGAGCAGAGTAGAGAGGCAGGATCACCTCCTTCGACCTGCTGGTCACGCTCCTTTTGATGCAGCCCAGGATACGGTTGGCTTTCCGGGCTGTGAGCGCACACTGAAGCTGGCCCATGTTCATTTTCTCATAGACCAACACCCCCAAGTCCTTCTCCGCAGGGCTGCTCTGAATCTCTTCTCTGCCCAACCTGTAGCTGTGCCTGGGGTTGCTCTGACCCAGATGTAGGACCTTGCACTTACCATGGTTAAACTTCATAAGGTTGGCATCAGCCCCCCTCACAAGCGTGTCAAGGTCCCTCTGGATGGCATTCCTTCCCTCCAGGGTATCAACCGAACCACACAGCTTGGTGTCATCGGCAAACTTGTTGAGGGTGCACTCAATCCCACTGTCCATGTCACCAACAAAGATGTTGAGCAAGACCGGTCCCAACACCGATCCCTGAGGGACACCACTCGTTACTGGTCTCCAGCTGGACATTGAGCCATTGACCACAACTCTTTGCATGCAGCCATCCAGCCAGTTCTTTATCCACTGAGTGGTCTACTTATCAAATTGATGTCTCTCCAATTTAGAGACAAGGATGTCGTGTGGGACAGTGTCAAATGCTTTGCACAAGTCCAGGTAGATGACATCAACTGCTCTATTCCTGTCCATCAGTTCTGTAGACACCAAATTGGTCAGGCAGGATTTCCCCTTAGTGAAGCCATGCTGGCTGTCACCAAGCACCTTGTTGATTTTCATGTGCCTTAGCATGCCTTCCAGGAGAATCTGCTCCAAGATTTTGCCGGGCACAGAGGTGAGACTGACTGGTCTGTAATTCCCTGGGTCATCCATTTTCCTCTTCTTGAAAATGGGGGGTCTTCGGGAACTTCACCTGACTGCCATGATTTTTCAAATATGATGAATAGTGGCTTAGCAACTTCATTTGCACAGCTCCTTTAGGACCTGTGGATGGATTTCATCAGGTATAGTTTACTCCTCCCAGGTCTGGCTGGCATTTCACACTCTTATTGCATGACTCACTTTGAGAGTGGAAGCTCTTCATTGGTTTAGAAGAATAACAGAATGCAAATGTCTTAAATGCTTTTTTCTGTTAAGTGTTTATCCTTAACTCTTAACTGGATTGTCCTTCTGCCTTCGAAGGTTGCAGAGGTGAATTCGAACCTAAAACTTCTTGAGTTTACCTGCTGCACGCAGTGGAGACTTAGAGTAGCAGTTCTGGCTAACCTTTCCCTTTGTCTGACAAAAGAAAATGTTTGTTAAACTTAAGTGCTACATTTTTGCTTGTCTGTTCTGTAGTGGTGTCAGCTTAAATAATTTTAACTTGCCTTTAAAATTGCACATTGAGGGTCAGGTTCTCAAGGCAGTAGCACTGTGGACTTCTAATGAGGCTCAGCCACGTGTGTTTTTAACAGTGTAACAGCAGAGATGCAGTATGGCATTGGTGTTTCCCATCACTGAAAGTAAATGCAGGCTAGACATCAGCCTCCAGTACAACTTCCATGTGGCCCAAGGGTTACTGCTATGCAAGATAAACACTTTCAGTCACTTGAATGCTGTGAACATGGGTTTTATGTTTTGCATGTACAAGAGATTGACTCCTAGAGCCATTCCATTGTTTTGTTTGTGATTTAGAAACAGCTTAACTGTGTTCCCTTTTTTATCTTGGTCTCCTTTTAGATATGTAGTGTGGATTTTATATTATTATTGTCTCCTATAATGGTCTAAACTGTTTTCATTTGTCATCATCTTCTGTTTCCTTTTCCTCCCTTTAAATGGGCTGTGTTAAAATCTGGCTCTTCAGCACTCAGAAACTTTTTTGACTTGTCACTGTTTTAGCTTGGTGCACTGTTATTATGGGGAACTGCAGAAGTTGTGCACGAATCATAACCGGCTCACTGGGGTCTGTTGCTGTTGTAAAGTAAGTGGTAGCTGAGGACAGGGAAAACAGAACAGTAGTGTTTTGCGCAGGTTTGGAACTTGAAGGAGTGGTATTAACTGTGAACCTTCCTCACACTTTCTTTCCTGTGGGTATAAAACACATGTCTGGGAAGGGATTTGTACCATTAGGCAGTGTTATGCAAGAATGCTGTTCTCTGGCTCGTCATATTCTTAGCCATAATTTCAGTGATGTACTGTCATCTGAAATATCCTATTACCATTTGTGATTATAGGCTTTTAACTTTTCATTTTGATCCTTGTGTGTTCTTAATGTAAGGAAGCTTTTGAGTTTAATGCCTTATTTTACCTCGGTTCCTGAAAATTCCGTGTTTAAGTCAGTGTTGTAATGTGGAAAAAATTCTTGTTTGTGTTTCGTAGTCTTGTCCTCGTGTGCAGTGGTTTTATATTTAAGTCATAAAAATGTGAGGCAGCTTAAGGCATAAACAGGCTTTTTTGACTCTGTTACATTGCTAATAATTTTTTGAATTCTCAGCCATGATTTTCCAGCTTAAAACAGTTGCACTTCTCTAAATGCATTCGTGTTGTATGCAGCATCCTCATATGTTTTGATATTTCTGGGAAATAATATTCCTTGTGTTCTCCAGGATGGAGTCATGAAGTGAAACGGGAAATTCTCTTTTTCGTACCCATGCTACATTTTTATACTTGTTATGCAGTTTGCAAAAATGTGTTGTGCAGCAGTAATGCATTAATTTGGCCATGAAAAGAATAGTAATAAAAGCAGATAGCTAATGCAAGTTTAGAATGGCAGGATAACACCAGGTTAATAGTAATGCAAAGGATAGTCTCTTCACAGGATATTATGTTTAACTGCTCAGAGACCTGTGAGAGAACTGATGTAAAAAACCATATGTTAGTCAGTGAGTAATCAGTTCATATATTCCTTGCAAATTCTCTCCAACCTTTCTTTGTTATGACAGACCAAAATGTTGCATGTAGAGTGTCATCTGGGTGGTGGTAGTTTTTCAAGTTTTAAGTGTATTGCTTTCCATATTTTTTTAAGAGATGATATATTCATGGCATGATAAAAGGTTTCATCAGTATTTTGTGTGGGATTTGCTATAGCTATTAAAAAGTTACGGCTGACTACTGTGGTAAAGTTTGTAGTGAAAGATGAGCTCAAGCGTGTGATTTTTCTGGAAATGGTACCTTAGCAGCCAGTTCTGCATCGTGTACAGGAATAGCTGTGGCTCTAGTACAGTTTGAATGTCAGGAAACACTGTGAGGTGTACCAGCTGGGTGATTTAACAGGTGTTAGTGTGTTGACAAGCATTTTTTCTGGATTAGGCACTGCTGGACTGGACTGAGGCTTTAGTCTTGCGAAAAATGGAGTGACGTGGTTATCATCAGTTTATCGAGGGGAGGGCATTACCTCCTCCTAAGTAATCATAGCTAGTTCAGTACCCTGCCAACTGTCTCAAACCAAGCTGGATGAATAACCTTCTATGAAAAGGGCTTCTTCCTGGATCGTTGTTTATTTCAAAACTTATGGAAATAAATAGTGGGTAGCAAAGAGGAGTCCAGTACAAACACTTTCTGATGCTGTCAACTCTTGAAAAAACATTAAATTCATAGCTAGTATGAGAGATCTGCATTGGTAATGTGTCAAATAAGACGTATATGTTAGGAAACAAGCAGTTTTAACAAATATTATGTGACTTAACCTCTTAATGCCTTGAACATGAGATGATTGGGTAGGATAGCTGAAGTAACATCAATAAAACTGCTCCCCTTCTCTCTTTCAGAGTGATTGAACAACTTGGTGGTAAGCAGTTGGTAATGAACCACATGCATCATGAAGACCAGCAAGTTCGTTATAATGCACTACTGGCTGTGCAGAAGCTGATGGTTCACAACTGGTATGTGATTAATTAATATATATGATTAGTTAATATACTACTAACACTGAGAAATATTTGATGTGGGGAGAGGATTCAAGACAAGAGATTTCTTTAAGGGGGAATAACAGTTTTATATGGTAAGACTGCAATTTTAAATGATAGAGCAATATGATGCTGTTATGTAAGATCTTAGCTAGTTTTTCTGTGTATTTTGGTTGCAGTTTGAGTAGCTTCACCTTGCATGATTGAGTGTCACAAGAGTAATTTACTGTATTTCATCTTATCTGAACTGCTTAATGTTCAGCATGAACTGTAATTTAGGCTTGCAGTTGTTCGAGTACTTAATTGACAGTTGCTTTTCCAAATGCATGCCTGACCATTCTTTTGTATTGTTCTTTGCTCTAGTGCTTTTCCCCCACCTATGCTGTTATTTTCCTGTTGCTGTTTTAAGGGGCGTAGGTACAATTTTTCTTGAACTCCTGGGGTAGCAGAAGCTTATGGTCTGGTTGATTATGTGAAGTGGAAAATCATTTGTTGGTATCTCTTTCATCAGTTGCTGAGAATAGCATTTGAAGTGAGGTTTTTCTTTCATTGTTTCTTGACTAGTTCTCTAATAAAGCTCCAAAACCCCAAGTTCTGGTTTGCTCTGCCACAGAACTTGCTGGTGGGTGATGCTGCCTTTCCACAGAGCACAGGACCTTTCTAGTGAAGAGTTGAAGGACCAAAGATCTGAAAAACTTCAGTGTTTGTGAAATAACTTAGTTTAACTTGCCAAACTAATTAATTATGCTAAGCATAAAGCATGGAGAGTTACAAATATTAATTAGGATTTCTTAATCTGGTTATTAATTATGATTTCACCAAAGGTGACATTTCCAATTTGGCATTACCTTAGAAAGATAAAACGCAACAGTACATCTGAGTATATTTAAACATAGATGTTGAGCTAAAAACAACTAATTTGATTTTGAATTTAAATGACCTTTTATTTCTGAAGAGCTTGGTGATTGGAAGTACCTACAATTTCTGTCAGCCTTCTCACTTCTGACACAATATGATCTTTTTAAAAGGCTGAGTAGTGGTGATGCTAACAGTGTGAAAGTGGTAGGGAACAAGGTTTATCAAGCACATTCTGACTACTGAAGATGGTCTAGCAAGGCTGACAAAAACTCGTGTCCGCTCTCCCTGCAGTGTATCTTCTATAAAAGAAAGATGGTTTTCTCCCTTTTTCTTCTGAAGAATGTTTTTTTTACTCTCATGCATGTTAGCTTTCTAATATAACATTAGTTTTCTAATATAACGTCATTCTAATATAACAATATATTGCTTCCTCCCTCTTTCATACTGTGGGAACTTTCCATAGCAGAGAAACACACATTTAAATAACCTACTGTATCAAATTCAGAATTAATATTCTCCACCTGTAACAACAACTTTGGTTAAAAATACTGAATGTATTGAGTATTTTTTAACCAAATACGAGTGTGTGAAGATGGAGACACAATGTGTGGCTGAGTGCAACCTAATTTGGGGTCTTTAGTGAATGTTACACTCCAATCTGCTTCTCAGTTTGTTGATATGCTTATTTCTCACTGTGCTATTCTCATATTTGAATCACTGAGTATTATAAACCAACAATAGCTAAATAGAGATTACAGTGTTGAAGGCTTAGTTACTGAATTTACCTTCTGCAGGGGGGACAGGTCTTGTGTGTCCTGATGTCTTGAAAATCTGGTAATAAAAGTACAAAGCTCTGGTCTTTCTCCAGCATAAATCTCACTGGTAGTAAGTTTTCCTGGATGCCTAACCTGGCTTTTTCTCATTTTCAAGTTAAGCATACTAATTTTAAGAATATCACATCAGGTCTTCTAGATTTGTCTTGGTTTTTTAATGGTGTGAACATTTCTGTGTGTGCTTTTCAGTTAGTGAACCTTTAGACTTGAGGCAGAGATTACAATTGCATCTGGTTTCAGACCTTCAGACATGTCAACAAAAAGGATCTGTTTAAGTGCCATTTTCAGATTAATATTGTCATCTCTCTAGGGAGTATGTTCTTACTTAATTCTTACTGCATCAGGCCTCTGGGATGCATTGTCCTTGGTTCATATTTGACAAAGCATGTTCCCCTTGGAATGCACATGAGGTAGCTTGAACTGAGGAAATGACGCATTGTTTGTATGTGGGAAGCTAGATCTGTCTTTGTATAGATCTGGCTTTTGATGTGTGTCAGGATCTCTTCTGTTTTATAGCTTGTGTGGGGAGAAGAGAGAGCAGAGCCTTCTGACTGCTGCACAGTGCAGTTCAAGTGTCTACTTATTTAGCTTTGCTTTATCGTAAGATGGGTTACTCAGCAGCTTAAAGGTTTTGCTTATCTTGCTCTTCAGAACTGGGGAAACAATAAGCCTTTTTCTCCTTGCTTCCACATGTGTTGGAATTCA